ATAATGTTAAATTCACTATGAGAATAAAATAATTTGAGAGTTGCACTGAAAAATTTAAATAATACATGAAACAGTCACTGCTATGATCGAGATAAAAATAAGACGAAACAAGTAAGGAAGGGCTAAGTTTGAGTGAAACATTTCGAAGTTCGAAAAAATTTTATGAGGTATATGGAAAATAGGTGTAGGATTGGCTTAATTTGACCTATTTTTGGCATTACTACATATTATTAAAAGAAACAGATGCTTTGTGAGTTTCATTAAGGTACCTCACATATGATTAAAAATATATAAGGAATAAAGTCAACCCGATGTTTGATCCTGATATAAGTTATACCATATGGGAGCTTGGGCAGGTTTTCACCCGATTTTATCCCATTTAGGATGGAGATGCACCGTTAGGAGAAAAATACGCTCACTCAATTTAATTAAGATAATTTACATATTGACCGATATATGAGGTATAAAGTAAGCCGGAGGTTCGATAATTTCTCGATTAGGTATATGAGGACTAAGGAATTTATTGATCCGATTCAAACCAATTTTGATACAGAGGCATACTATCATCAGAAAAGGATATTTTCGATACAACGTTCACAATGGGGACTGGGGTCCAAGCATTCGGTACTTAGTAGCTTGAATTTATCTTCGACTTGTGTGAATTTGGTTATTATAGCTTGATCGGTTTTGGTGATATGTACATTAAACTTATTAGAGGGTGGGCCCACACCCACTTTTTAAAAAATTTGAAATCACAGGTACCCTTACTACTTGTATTGCGATTCGTTGTACCAAATTACAGTTTTATATCAATTTAGTGCTTAGTTATGGCAATTAATAAGTTTCCGATTAATGACATTGTGGGGGTGTGGCAATAGACCGATTTCGCCCATCTACACTAGCAATTGTCTAACGATGCCCATGAAACATGTGTACCAAGTTTCATCAAGATAACTCAATTTTTATTCAAGTTACAGCTTGTAGAGACGGACGGACCGTTAGGTGAACAAAACTATTATACTCTGTAGCAACATGTTGCAAGAGTATAAAACAATTTACGAAAACTGTATACTGGTTCAGAAGTGACAACGGCAGACACCTGGCGACGATTACTGATTGATTGATAAAACTATACGTGAAAATTATAGTATACTACAATTATTATATTCGATTGCCATCTTGTGGATCTGTGGAATAATAAAAAAAATGGCGATTAAAAATCAGGGGTTGATCATAGATGAATTAAAATTTACAATCGTATGTATTTTTCAATGCTGAATGATGTAAAAATAAAAACCAAAAATTTTGTCCAATACAGAAAAAAAAAATTATATTTGGGGTGTAAGAGTGTATTATAATCAAAGAAAAATGTTTTCCGAATTCCAGAAATATATCTCATACATTGACCGATACGCACTGGGGTCCACATATTTGAACAGTCATATTCCTATTTTGACCACTTTTAGACCCGAGATGGCATTATCAAAGACACTAAGTGTGTAAAGAATCAGATGAAATTTAAAATTGTGTTATATGGGAAGTTGGCGTGGATGTATTCGGATTTCGCTCTGAAATATACGAATGTCATAATAAAGCACCCTACCGAGTTTGGTTGAAATCGGTCGAGCAGGTCCCGTGATATGGGTTTTCACCTAAATGTGGGCGGTGCCATGCCAATCGTCCAATTGTGAAAGCGGCTTCTCTAAAGTTTTTTTTTATTATCCAGATTGATTTATCGTGCTTTTAGTAGTTTTTAACAAACCCGTTATATGGGAAGAGGGCAGGGTTATTAGCCATGTTCATACTGTCGGTATTAGTTCTTAAACAATTTGTCCTACCTTTGGTTATTGTAGCTTAAGTGGTTTAGGAGATATGTTCATAAAACTTCTTAGAAAGCGGGGCCACGCTCACTTTTTTAAAAGTTTTTGCTTATTTGTGTGCTTAGTTA